TGGGTCTTTGATTTGATTCAGTTGATCAAACTGTCTGTTTTTATGCCAATACCATGATCTAAACAGAGAATTATCAGCAGAGGAATCTCAAATTGCTGAGAAGCACCTAAAAATAGTTCAACATTCTTAGCTATCAGGGAATTGCAAATCAAAATGACTCTGAGATTCCATCTTACACCTGTCAGAATGGCTAAGATCAAAAACACAAGTGACATCTTATGCTAGCGAGGATGTGGAGCAAGGGGAACACTTCTCCATTGCTGGTGGAAGTGCAAATTGTCCAGCCATTTTGGAAATCAATATCATAATTTCTCAGAAAATTGGGAATTGATTTACCTCAGATCCCAGCTATATGACTCCCGGGCATATTCCTAAAGGATGCTCCATCATACCACAATGACGCTTGCTCAACTATGTACATAGCAACTTTATTCATAATAACCAGAAACTGAAAACAATCTAGATGTTCATCAACCAAAGAATGGATAAAGAAAACATGATGCATTTACACAATGAAGTATAACTCACTTGTTAAAAAAATAACACCATGGAATTTGCAGGCAAATACAAGGGGTGGTGCCTAGTCTTAACTGCAATTTGTTATACCATGTTTGGTTGATATCCACAGGAAGTCTGCCCTTTTATGAAGAGAAACAGAGGAGGATGGTCAAGGACTGGACTGGATAGGTGGGGTTTCAGGGAGAGGAACTGGCAGAGGTGGGAAGGGAAACTGGTGGGCATGTAATATATGAGGGAAGAGTAAATGAAAAATACAAAAGAAATTTATGAAATGATTAGTATTTACTACATTGTTGACATTTTTGGTATTTTTTCTCCTAAATATTTTTTCCTCAATATAAGTCAAAATTATTTGTAAAAGTATCTTCAGGCCTGACATGATGGCTTGGTGGTTAAGGGTACTTGCTACCAGGTCTGAGGACCTGAGCTTGCTTCCAGGAACTTATATGTGGAAGCAGAGAACCAACTCCTACACGCTGTCCTGTCATCCATAGCCATGCCTGGACAGGTGTATGCATAACACACACACGCAGACACACACATACACACATACACACACAGTGTAAAAAAAAAAAGTAGTTTCTTTTGGTTCAAAAGAAAAATTAAATATATGTATCATTCTTTCTTTTCTATGTTTTCAAACTTTGTTTATTGTATCTTTTTTATAGATTTCATTTTATTTTTTAATCCATTCTTTAGGTGACAGTCATTTAATTAATGTTCAGTTTGTAACTACTGTGAATAATTCTGGCATTCACATGCACATACAGACTTTGTATGGATACAGAGTTTAATTTTGTCTTCATAGATACTGATGGAATTTTGTACTGGGTGGTAGGTTTATGTATAACTTTATAAGGAAGTGTGAAGCTTTTATCCAAGATGTTTGTTTTTCATGTCTGAGGAACATATGAGCATACCAGTTACTTTCCAGCATTTATTTATTTTTTTGTCACTTTTACTGAAGCTGTTGTAGTAGATGAACAGAAATAGCTCTTTGTGGATAAAGTTTGCATTTTTGTCCTTTTTTAGATTTTTTTAAATGCATTTTTTACACAGGCATTTGCCTTCATGTTTGAATAACCCCCATGAGTGTGTTGATGCCAGTGAAGGCCAAAAGAGAGAATCACAACTCTGAATTTGTAGTTAAAGATGGTTGTGGGCCACCATGAGAGTCCTTAAAACCAAACCAGGTCCTCTGTAAGAACAGTAGTTGCTTTTAAGCACTAAGCTATCCCTAGAACTATGTTTGCCTTTTCTTTCTTTCTTTCTTTCTTTCTTTCTTTCTTTCTTTCTTTCTTTTTCTTTCTTTCTTTCTTTCTTTCTTTCTTTCTTTCTTTCTTTCTTTCTTTGTTTCTTTCTTCTTTCTTTCTTTCTTTCTTCCTTTCTTTCTTTCTTTCTTTTTCTTTCTTTCTTTCTTCTTTTTCTCTCTCTCTCTCTCTCTCTCTCGCTCTCTTTCTCTCTCTCTTTCTTCCTTCCTTCATTCTTTTTCTTCTTTCTTTCTTTCTTTCTTTCTTCCTTCCTTCCTTCCTTCCTTCCTTCCTTCCTTTCTTTTCTTTTCTTTTTTAGCTTCGGGAGGGCCCTGGGTCAATACCCAGCAGCCTTGAGTTTATTTCTTTTTTTTTAATTAAGAATTTTTTTCATTTTACATACAAATCACAGATATTCCCTTCTCTTCCCTCCTCCCGCCCTGCCAGCTTCCCCCACCAACTCTCCCATTCCTTCCTCCAAAAAGGTAAGGACTCCCTTGTGGAGTCAGCAGAGCCTGGTACATTCAGTTGAGGCAAGTCCAAGCCCCTCCCCCTGCAGCAAGACTATGCAAGGTGTCCCACCACAGGTAATGGACTCGAAAAAGCCAGCTTATGCACCAGGATGAATCCTGATTCTATTTCCAGGGGGCCCCTTAAGCAGATCAATCTACATAACTGTCTCACTTATGCAGAGGGTGTAGTCCAGTCCCATGGAGGCTCCATAGGTGTTGGTCTAAATTTCATGAGTTCCCACTAGGTTGGTTTGGTTGTCTCTGTAGGTTTACCCATCATAATCTTGATGCCTCTTGCTCATAGAATCTCACTTCTCTTCAACTTGACTCCTGGGCTCAGTCTGGTGCTTGGCTGTGGAACGCTGCCTTTTCTTAATGACTAATGGTATTTAGAAAGCTTTCATGTTCTTATTAACAATTAAAATATACAACTTTATGTTAGCTGATTACAAAAATAGTATCTGTATAACAATACAATATTAAAAGCATATTTTTCCTATAGCCATAATAAAAATATAATTAATAATTAAAATATTATCAAAATATTAAGCTATTCCAGGTATATCTTTCTCTCTGTATGTGTCTGTTTCTCATTCATCATTATCTACCTATCTTCTATTTATGTCTTCCATCTATATCTATCTCTATGTCTCTGATGAACACAGTCTAAAGCATGGCCAGGCTTTGTGTTAGCATCTGTTTATAACTGATCATTTCCTTTTTCCAATCTCTGTTGTCCTCTAAAGGACACTTTAAAGTTACAAGTTAACTATACCAGATGATTACTACATAGTTGTCAACAACCACAAAATCTTTCTGAAAGGTCACTGGAACCTGAGCATGGCTGTCTGCTTCTCCTACACAGTGATGTGTCTTGTTTACAATCACCACTTGATTCAACCTCTCGTTATTCTTTTGTGCTGCTTCTTTTTTTTTTTTTTTTTTTTTTTGGTTTTTCGAGACAGGGTTTCTCTGTGTAGCTTTGCGCCTTTCCTGGAACTCACTTGGTAGCCCAGGCTGGCCTCGAACTCACAGAGATCCGCCTGGCTCTGCCTCCCCAGTGCTGGGATTAAAGGCGTGCGCCACCACCGCCCGGCTTCTTCTTTTTTTTTTTCTGGATCCCAGACACTATAAGCAACTTTTCATAGCCACATATGTTATTTTATAATTACCTAGTTAAATAAGTAATAAATCATATTATTCAAATAAATACTAAAAGTTTAAAATAAATTACTATGCTTTTGAGTCAAATAGCAATGTACATCATTGTGGAAATCCCGGAGATTATGACTATAGTTGAAACCAAGAAACATGGTATGTATTTAAAACATGTTCTATTTCATTCAACACTGAACAATGTGAGATGGCTAAGCCTTGGGATTTTGAAGTACACACAATTGACAATTGCTTGATTTGGTGCTGTTAAATCAACACTGACTCTGTCTCAGTTCCAGTTGGTCATTGTACAATTGTTTCTGCTTATTGCCAAAGTTGGATTGCTTTTGTTTTCTTATTATCATCTTTTATATCTATGTTCTTAGGGATATTGTTCTAGAATGTGATGACTGTAATGTAATTGTTCTAGAATGTAATGTTCCATAATGACTTTGTCTGATATTGATATTAGGATGATATGACCTTAATGAATGCGTTTGGAAATGTTCTCTACTTTGCTTTATGAAAGGTCTGTGATGTTTCTTAAACACACACACACACACACACACACACACACACACACATACACACACACACTCACACACTCATTGAAATCAAGGGGTATAATATCTTCAAATTTGTTTTTATTTTTTATCTTTTTAAAATTTTATTTTTATTTTTATTATTTAAAACAATTTTTAAGTTTAAAGGTATTTTGTTTATATTCTTCCCCTCCCTTAAGTCCTTTCATATCCCCTCCCTCTCCCTACCCACCCAAATTTAAGTTCTTTCTCAAAAACCAAACAAAAATTCAGTACAACAAAATCCCCTCAAACCAAGGAAACAAGATAAAACAACACTCAAAAAGACAAACCCCAAACAAAACAAAACACCAAACTGTAACCGAATAAAAGCACACAAAAAACTGTGGAGTCCATTATGTGTTGGTCAACTATTCTTAAACGTAACACCTGTCCTGGAGTGGTTGATATACCCAGTGTCACTCTATTGGAGAAAACTGATGTTCACTCTTGTAGCAGGTATAAATGACAATTAAGTTGTGCACTTTTACCCTAGTGGCTAGGTTTTCATTAGCGTATTCATTCATTTTTTTTTAAAACATAACAGAATAAAATATAATAAAATAAAACAAAAAACTGTCACATAGGAGTTGGACAAGACAAACCAACAGAAGGAAAAGAGCCCAAGAAAAGGCACAAGAATCAGAGACCCACTCATTTCCACACTCAGAAATCCTATAAAAATACTAAACTGGAAGCCATTAAATATCTGCAGAGGACCTGGCGCAGACCTGTGCATGCTGCTTCAATCTCTATGAGTTCACATGAGCTTTGCTCATGTTGATTTAGAGGCCTTGCTTTCTTGGTGTCCTCCCTTTTCTCTGGCTCTTATACTCTTTCCACATCCTCCTCTGTGGGGGTTCCCTTATCTCGGAGGGGTGGGGTTTGATGGAAACATCCAATTTAAGGCTGCGCGTTCCAAGGTCTCTTACTCCATGTAACGTCTGGCTGTGAGACTCTATATTTGTTTCTATCTGCTGCAGGAGGAAGCTTCTTTTATGATGGCTAGACAAGGCATGGGGATATTGGAAGAAGAGAAGTGGCTGGGTTCAACTCACAGGTTGAAAGCCTCTCTGCTCTGTGAAAAAAGGTGCTCTGGAATCACAGATGCTTAGGAGGCTGTTGCAATAATCACAGCAATCCAAGACGAGAGCAGTGGAAGAGCAGAAACAGGCCAGAGTCTGCAAACAGAGAACATGCTTTTTACCAGAAATGCTAATGGGGTTTGCTGATAAATTGGCTAGATTCGCTATGGAGCTCAAAATATGACTGGTAAGAGTATTTCCTATAATTTCTCATTCATTTCTAATTCATATTTCTTCTAATGCTGTATCATAGTTTCTAATTTTAGGGAAGAAAAATTTCTTTACAGGTAATTCAATTACAGAGAGAAATGCCGAAACTATTGACATTTCCATGGGTGACTGAGAGCTCACAGTGTCAGATTAATCATGCAAACATAGTCCAATCAGGTCTGCAGAAAAAGTCTAGACTTATCTCTGGCTTTGATTAGATATTGGATTTGTGACAATGAATATATGAATTAAGGAATGTTCTCTCGTTCTTTCTCTCTCTCTTTCCACTACCCCTCTCCCTCTAAGTGATTTACCCCAGGATCTAAGTTCAGCATAGATTCAAAAATAAGGAAAAAGCCAATCTGAACTAAGAGCAGTCACTGAAAGACTCAGGAGGAAGGGCTGCAGGCTCATCCTTTGAAGTGTACCTCATGCAACAGCGACATGGGTCCATACAAGAAGTTAGCAGAGAAGCTTTGTGTAGTATCATCCCAGCACGTAGGAAGGCAAGGCCAGGACAACTGTGCGTCGAGATGGTCCTTGGCTACTTAGTGAAACCATGTCTCAAAAGGTAAGTTAGAAGGGGAAACAGATGCAGTGCAAAACAAGAAACGGAGTGGCCTGATCCAATGAGTAAACAACCAAAATGAGTGCATTTTCTTAAGATAAGCATCAGTGAAATACACTCTAATTTTATAGATGCTATTTTCTAGGACTTTGTGAGTAACCTAATGATTCTTGATCCATATGTTCTAGGGCATGAACATTCACACACTTCAACTTTCTCAGGCAATTAAGAAGTCCATAGATGCCCTGAAGCTGTAGAGCTCATATTGAAAACCATTCAGTACTTTCCAAGCCTTTTGGTCTTGCCATCAAGCAACAGTCATGCTTTATCTCTCTTCTCCTAACATATTTCAACTAACTCTGCCTAGACCTTGCAAAATTAGAACATCACAGATCTCAGTGAAAGTCACAAAATAGATTGACACCCCGATTTGACAATGATTCGTAGATCTCTAAATTCCCATTTTCTATGCATCAAGGAGAGGAAAAGATGCCTGAATGATTCTAAACACTTGATTGGATTCCCTCTAGAGACTGGGTGAGCACGTAAGGGGTGCTGAATGCATCGTTATCCATGCATAGGTGCATCCGCCCAGTGAAATATGCTTACTTCAGAGTGGCAATGAACAAGAACATTTGAGGCAAGCTGAGGAAAGATCCATCAACTAACAATTTTAAGGAATAGGCTAAGGAATGAGATTCAGCTTTTCTGCACCACAGAATTCTGCAAATAATCACTGGAGGCATCGGGCTGTGGACTGTGAGTGCAGTAAGTCAGGGCTGTTTCTTCTCTAGTAAATTACATATTACCTATGAGCTATTTATTTATTTAGCTATTTCAGGCTGATTAAAATGCACACTTTGTAGAGCTCTCTGGGCATAGGTACAAAATAATAATGGCTTGGTAAGCAATGTGCTCTGGAAACCGCGTGAGCAAGCGGATTCGGGGGAAATTGACACAGCTGAACTGTAGCTGTCGGTGAAGTGTGGGTTGACCTCCAAGGGTGTAAGTGTCACCTTTTTCAGAAGCACTTTGTGAGCAGAGTGAGAGCTGCAGCAATTATGTCTTTTAGAATAGCAGTCTGGGAGACAGCCACTCTCTCCGTCTGATCTCTAGATTGAAAACTGTATTGCATGCTTCTTGGGATGCCTTGAGTCGTGGAGCGTTGTGCTTGTGTGTTGTACTCTGTGCAACCAGGCATAGGTCTGAACCAATGCCAAGTGGCAGACTTGGTCAGTGTAAGACCTTAACATCAAAAGAAGGCAACAAGGTAGTTGGTCTTTGCATTATTTGCATTGGACTGTGAATAAAGTGGTTTGAAACATATAGTCTGGGCAATCAGGAAGGTCTATATTATCTGTTCTGGGCTTTGCTGTGTACTAATTACTTGCTAATGTTGGTTTGAGTATTGACTTCCTCATCTCAGAAATGGAGGTAATAATAATGTTCTGTTCCTAAGGGTGTTATGAGGGTAAAACACATTTCATAGCAAAGCACTTAGTATACTCTTTCATGCATTTGTTTACTTATAGTTTGATTTTCTTCTGATAAAAGATGGAAAATGTTTTTCAGGAACAAATAACCTGTACAATTTTAATGGAACTATAAACAGCCCCTTAGCCATATTAAATATTAAAGCCTTCTTTTTCAAAAGGTACAAGCTACCCAATTTTCCTATCATTTCTCCCCAGAACTTCACTAGTATTTTTTGCCTTTAATTTTTAATTTCCTTTGTGTGTGTAAAATGTATGTGTATGCACACAAGTTTGTGCTGGTGAGTTTGTGGTGTTTGTGCATTACTGAAGTCCCACCCTATGTTCCTTTGCACTACCTGGTGTTTTACTCATTTCTTTGGTTTGTTTTGGGGGGTAAATTCTACAGCCCAAGACAATCTTGAACTCCTAATCTTCCTATCTCAACTTCCCAAGTGCACAATCTACTTTTATAATTCAACACATACTCGTGTGTGTGTTTGTGTGTGTGTGTGTGTGCGTGCATATTAGTAGTCAGTGTTGGGTGTCTTCCTCTATTGTTCTTGAATCTTATTTTCTTTTGAGACTAAGTCTGTCATCAGAACTGGAGTTCACTGATTGACTGGACTGACTGACCAATAATCTTTGGGGAGTCACCTGTCTCTTGCTCTACAATGCTGAGGTTACTGAATGCCAACACTTGTAGCTTATATGTGGGTGCTGATCACTTTGCCCACTGAGCAATCTCCTCAGCCCTGTTTTTAACCTTTCCTTTTGTTTTTGTTTTTACTGAATTTACTGCATTTTTAGGAACTGTCTTCTATCATTATTGAGGTAGTGTTAAGAGTCAGGGGGCACACCTTTGCAGAATAATGCAACTGTTCAGTACTGTGCAATGTCTACTCTATGTACAGCAACCATGAAAATTATCTCCAGTTTCTAGGCCACTGAGAAAAATGGCAGTATTTTAAATTTTCCTGACATGATACCTGGATCTTTCAGTAAATATTTGTTCTAAACCCATCATGTGCAAAACATCCCATGCCAGACAACTTATGACCTTGGCATTCATGAAAATACTATGACTTATTTTAACATTTTAGAAGTAAAAAATTCTCAGTAGGTTCACTTTCAAGGACTTTACTTAGAACTTGAGGAAACTTGTGGACTTGGTTATTCCTTCTAGACATGCTACGTAAAATGCATTCAGTTTGTCTGCTGCTCTACTTATCTAGAGACCTCATTATCTGGGAATACGCCATGGCTCTCTCGCTTGAAGTCCTGAGGGAAATATTCTCACTCACTATAATATTAGCCTCTCGGTTTTGAAAGTGGAAAGTAAATCACAAATTCATCCTCTAGTCTTCAATTTGTAAAAAGATAGTGCATAGATAAAATAGAAAAAAAGAGTAAGTGGATGAAAAGCTCTTGTCCTTATCCCCAGTGTGCTAAGAGCCACGTGAGGCTAGAACCACTGTCATGAGAGGCTGACATGTTCAAATTAGAGAAAAGTCTGTTCATTAAAAGAAGAGTATTTCAATAGTTCTGGCTGTCAGATGAGTACAGAGAATATATGAAAATGGTCTAAAAGTGTCTGTGAAAGTGATCACTCGATGACACACAAGTGTCGGCACTCAATTAAAAAGCTATTTCAATCATTACAGAATATGGGCCATTGGTGACACATGGCAGATCCCCGGGGATGTGATGGCTAGACATGTTTATTCTTCTTCCTCTTTCCTCTCTTCCCTTTCTTCCTTCCTTTGTATAAATCTGTATTAGTCTGTTCAGATTTTGAAGCTTTATTTTTCTTTCCAAGTTTTGGAAGAATGATGAAAAAAATTCTCTTTTTTTTTGGGGGGGGGCTGGAATTTGGGGACTCTTTAATACCATATTCAAGAAATTTTAAAAAGCTGAAGAGGAAGCTCCTAGAGCCCAGACACTGTGACCCAGTACTGTATTCATCCCAGCAAATGGCTCTTGTCACACTGTGCTTTCACTGGGTTGTCTCATTTGGGTCCGAACACTCTTATTCCTCTATCTCCCAAGGGCACCCGCATTCACCAGAGCAACACTAAATCAAGAAAGAGGGGTTTAAATAGTTAAAGTAATATAGCCACTGGAAGGCTGTCAGATTAGAGAGAAGGGACTTGTTAATGAGAAGAGTGCGTGTCGAGGAAAAGTAACTTGGTCGGTACAAGCAAAGCATACAGGGGAATAAAACTCTCCATTAAAAAGGGAGGGGAGGGAACCGAAAGAAGGTGGAGTGAAACAGGCATACTTGCAGGTTCTTGGAAATAAGTTCTAGTGAGAGTAAGATCACTGCAATGTTAATGTGATCCCAGGAGACCAGTTCCCTTTCTAATGAGACGGTAGAGATCCTTGCTCTCTCATTATCTCCTTACCTCCAGGGACATCCTAGTGCCCACAGCTCTTTATTGGTGTGTAAACTAGGGTTCTGCAGAGAGACAGAGCAAGAGGGTACAGACATGGGCATACAGACAGACAGGAGACCAGAGAGGGTTTATTAGAGAAACCGTTTCAAGCATATGCAGGCTAAATTCCATAGCAAACTGTTCACTGATGACCTCTGAGTGTGGATAGTGATAGTTCGGCTAAAATCTGAACCAGGGAAAGCTCATGATGTGACTTTCAGCCTGAGACCAGAGGTTTGAGAACCCAGGGGATTTCTGAATTAAGTTTTAGAGTTCAAGGCTTGGCAAATCTGAATTTTTAACGTTCAAGAGCAACAGAGGAAGATTGTGTCTCAGCTGGGCATGGAGAGAGGGAGAGGGGAGAATCATGACAGAGGGAGGGAGAGATGGAGTGGGAGATAGAGGTTGATAGATAAATAGATAGATAGATAGATAGATAGATAGATAGATAGATAGATAGATAGAAACACTTTCCAGTAGCGTTTGTCCTCTTCATGCTGCC